TCAAGCTGGGTCTTCAAAACACTGCCAGTAGTTCAGGTGGATATGCTGTCTTCCTGAAGAGTTCTACTGAATACATTTTATTCTGCCACTTACTATCTAAGACTGTCCCTAATAATTCAGAATTGATTACAACTCTTTATTACAAAAAAATCATTACAAAATGCTTGTGGTTATTTTTTGTTGTTGTTGTGTCCCATCCTGTTCTCTCCCCCTTCTTCCTGACTAGCCGGACATGTATCCAGGAAACTGCTGGGCTTTCAAAGGATCACAGGGGTATCTTGTAGTTAGACTTTCAATGAAGATCTATCCAACTGCCTTTACGGTGGAACACATACCAAAAACACTTTCACCAACAGGAAATATCACCAGTGCTCCTCGGAACTTTTCAGTATATGTAAGTCTGTCTCTGAACTTAAGTTGATGTTTGTCTGCATAAAGAATATTTGTTACATATCTTGGAGAATAATGACTTAAGAGAGGACAGCTAAGAAGAGAAACTGTTTCTGTCATTGCCCTTAAAATTGCTTTTTTTTGAGCTTTGAGATTAGGAATAAAAAGTGTTACAACTCATTTTGGAGGAGTTGTTTCTTTCTCTTGCTTTATACAGTAGCAAACATTTTTGGAGGGAGATGATGGTTTTTAATTTGGTATAGTTCTTTCATACACTTTAATTGTTCCATCCTTCCTCCTCTCCCCCCCCCAGTTTGGCTCTTCACCTTGTCTATGATATGCCTTAAATCTTTTTTTAAATTGATTTTAACTAGCACTGTAGTTGCGTAGGCATGATGGCAGAACAGAAGACCACGGGCTACATCAGAGTGTAGTTGTGATATCTGAGAACTCTTTGTCTAGTTCTTCTAAATGCTTAAGCAGTCTTCTGCAAGCATCTGAATCTGGACTTCAGTCTTGTTTATAACCTTGATGTTTTCTCATTGCTTGTCCTGAGCAGTTTACATTGTACGCTGTGACAGTGGTTTTGCCATGAAAATTAAGGGGTTTGACCATGAGAACGTATAAGCATAACACAGCTATTTGCAGTGCAGGAAACTCAAATACAGAGCTGTGCCAGAACAAGCATTAAGTTACGTGGAGAAACATTCTGATCCTGGTTTGATAGACTTCTGAATGCTCTCTGTTGATACTCAGTTATGTAGACATGCTTCTGGTTTTGGTTTGATTTCAAATCTGACGGAAGAAAAAATCTTTATCCTGTTGTTATAGGGTCTAGATGACGAATATCAAGAAGAAGGCAAGCTTCTAGGACAGTATGTCTATGATCAAGGAGGAGAACCACTGCAGATGTTTCCAGTGATGGTAAGTCTGGACAATAAGATTTAAAGTGTCAGGAGAGAGATACTTGTACTTTCTATGGTAGTGCACAGTGAGCAGTGAAGGGAAAAAGGCCTCATTCTCTGTTGGGCACTGTAGAAACTGAGGCAGAACGTATCTACCTGTCTGTCTCAAAAGCCATGGTCTAAACAGATCAGAGGGGAGGAAAGGTTTGTGCCGTCGGGGCACAAATAGCATGAAGATGCTAAACATACAAAGAGTCTGCTTCAGGCTTCGTCTGACTCCCTTCACCAAAAACTAGTTGTAAGGCGAGGAAGGTTCTGTTCAAAGTGGCAGAAAGTTCCCAAGGCGTAACTTAGTTATGAATAAAAGTTGGTAGTTGCAGGAATCAAGAAAGCAACTTCAGTTGCACCTGCTCGTACTAGAAACCTAACTCTGGTTTGTGTGTTTGCTTTTTCCTTCTCCAGGAGAAAAGTGAAAACGCATTCCAAATAGTGGAACTGAGAATTTTTTCTAATTGGGGACATGCAGAATATACATGCCTTTATCGGTTCAGAGTGCATGGGAAACCTGCCGAATAATCTCCTACACTACAGCTTGGGTTGTTTTTGTTGTTGTACATTTTGTTCTCAATTTGTATATACCGGGAAGCCTAGAACACTGGAATCTTTAAAGGACGAGGATGCAAGATGTATACTGCAGAACTATTGATCCTCTGATAAAGGCAGAAGACTGTCAGCAGAACTGTATAAAAAATAATTTTTATTTGCTCTAATGCTCAGCTTGTAATTGCCAGTTAGCTTTATATTTTTGTGTCCATGCTGAGAGAAATAATGCATGCAAACTACTCTGGCTCATAAAGCCCAGTTGGCAAACAGGTGACACCTATTTTATTACAAATGAATGTATAGGGTTTTTTAAAAGAATAAACCACACTTTCTGCAACTAGGAACTTGTTTTTTTTAAATCCAGGACTTAACTGCATACTTCTGTTAGCTTGGCACCGTAAGCCAAAAAACTGTGGTACATTTTAAACACTGACTGTGGCTACAGGTGTCCTTCAGTTGGCCCTTGGTTTTGACCTTTTTGGTGGATCCAAAAGGGCTTCTTCGATACATGTTGAATATAATAAATACTACTGTCAGGGAAAGGTGACACAACCAAAATAGTTTCAACACCAGCGACTGAGAATGCTTTACTGTAATTTGTGGCCATGAATTGCTCGAAGTCAGGGATAACTTCAGTTACTTAAAGTTATTTTAAGGGTTTTTACCATAGCAACTTGGCCAGTTTGTTCTTCTTTAGTGTTAATTCCAGATCGACCTTGATGTACTGACTAACTGGATCGGAACCGATAAGCCTGCTAAATTGCTTAGTAAGCATTAGTATACAGCAATTAAACAGTTTGTCAGAAGCGATCTCTTTGGGACAGTAATTCCGTAGGCTGGTTCATTGTTACACTCGGTAAATGTTGTACTGTGAGAACGCAGAATGTGGGAAACAAGACTGAAGTAAACCTCGCTGCTTCACATTTACGGGAGGGACTTGTGCTCGGTACTGCCCTACTGACATACACGGGCGTTCCGTCGATCACCCCCAGAAACCTTAGTCGGGTATAAGAAGAGTAGGGTGAGGTCTTGCTCTCAAAAGCAACATTTCCATGTGGAATGAGATGAAACTGCTTATTGCCCCCCTTAGGATTGCTACTTCGAAGATCCTTTTCAGAAAATGTACTTGTATGCAGAGTTTTTATCTTGCTGTTATAACGCATTTTGTAGTTACACATGAACTGTTACCACATGGAACTGCTGACTGGTTTTCTGACTAGAGTTACGTATGTTGCACAACAGTCCTCGAATGTTTAAAAACACAAAGTCTCTACGTGAAGAACTCCTTTTCACTTGAGCTAGAGACAGAACCTATGGCCTACGCAGAGGAGCTAGATTACATGTGTACAGGTGTTTTCATATGATAGGTTACGTATTTAAAATTAGAGTTATCCTGTATAAATTGAAATTAGGTAGCCGGGGTGGGAATATTTTGAATAACACTAACTTATTTTTAAAAAAGCAAGATAGGACTTTGTGCAATGTATTTTTGTAAATGCTTTTCAAAATGTCTGTTATTCTTTGCTGCCTCCAAACTGACAAGATGCTATTGAGATGTTTAAATAAAGAGTTTTAATTTTTGAAAGTGCATGTAATATTTGAAACAAGAAATAAAGCTTCTTTTCTGTATTTTTGATCACCTGCTTAAATCAGACTACACTACTGGCACTGGCTGGGTGCCCGTTGCCGTAGCGGTTTTCCCCGTGGCTCGTTTCCAAACCCGGTCTACCTCCTTCAGCCCCTCTGAAACAGATCGTTAGGTTTGAGCGTGCCGGGGGTGCGGAGGGGCAGGTTTGTGGCACTGCTTCTCGGCAGGGTCACAAAACTTCGGCGTGCGCCTCCGGGAAGGCTGTGTCTGTTAGCTCGCTCTCCCTCCCGTGTGTCGGCGGAGCGCGGGGCCTCGCGCCGATTACCCCACGTTGAAAGTTTGGAAGGGAAGGAGCCAGGCCCGGGCGTTGCCCCATGGCAACGCGCTCTCCAAAGCTGATGCTTGAGAGGCTGGGGGGGGGGGTTCGG